TTATATAAAAAAATCTGGGAAAAGCATTTGGTATTTCATATACTTTTCATTTGATATTGAATATATTTTCCAAATTATGATTATCATATTTTATTTCAAACAGTATCATGAGAAACAAAAATATTTGTTTCGATCCGTTGCGGAAAAAAAAGTCAATAAAAATAAAAAAATCAAATCAAATGAAAAATGAGATCAAAAAGAAAAATGCAAAAAAAAAGATGCAAGAAAATCGGCGAATTCAATTTTTTTGAGTAATCATAAGAAAAATCATTTACAAATGACAAAATATCATATGCACGATGCGTGGTAATTTTTTTTGGTCAGACGAAACGTATGTCCCGTGCTTGGATTTTTTAAGAATGCTTTGTCATCCCAAAAACATTATTGCATCCTAAAAATTCCCCAGCCGGCAGTTAGGAAATGGTTGTCAAAACGCCGTCAAATTTTTATTATATCATTGATATATTTTTTTGCCCAAACACTCGGAAAATTTTCTCTACCGGACGAAATACTTCAGTCAGATTGCCAAAACAAAGCTACGCAGCCACTTGGCTCCAAGCAACAACATAAAAGGCACTACTGCGTGTCGGTACTCAAAGAAGGGCATATTTTTCTACACCCCCCCTCGAAACGACAATGGGGCGACTCACTCACAGGTCTGAAAGATAATTATTGCAAGCCTTCTTGATCTGCAGTGATCCTGCAGAGCTCAAACCTTTACAAATGTTCCCCACGTGGAAGGCGTACCCGGTTCTTGAAGTATAGACGGAGTAGCGATCTTCAGCCACTGGCAGAAAGTTTAAGGCTTTCTCCGAAGTACGCACACTTCGATTGTAGTTCCGCGCGGCTCCAGGCAGAAAACCAAGCAAAAAGATATCGAAGACACCCACAATGACTACCACGGCCAGCATCACGCATTTTTGACACATTGCACGAACCATGAGACCTTCTTTATGGAGACGCGAGACGAATCGAAAACTGACAACAATTCTGCGTTTCCTGACCACGACCCCCCCGATCCTTATGACTGATGATATTTTTGAGATGTAGACACCCGAAACGATTCCAAAAGTGACGACAATTCCGGGTTTCGCGACCACGACCCCCGATCCCTGTGACCGTTGACGCTTTTGAGACCCAGATGCCCGACACGAGTCCAAAAATGACGACATTTCTGGGTTTCGCGACCACGACCCTTCCGATCCCTGAGACTATTGAGGCTTTTGAGTCGCGAAAACGCAAGACGAGTCTAAAAATGATGACAGTTCTGGGTTTCGCGACCACGACCCCCCCGATCTTTATGACTGCTGACATTTTTCAGACGGCAAGAGACGAGACAAGTCCAAAAATGACGACAATTCTGGGTTTCGCGATACCCCTCCCTGTTTAGCTTGCTTCATTCTGAAATAACAGGCTTAGATTCTTCATTTATTTTTCAATAAAATAAAACGGAGCAAAAATACTTAATTAAAAATCTTAAATTCTGCAAAAAAATTTAATCTTAGATTTTTTTCGCCTGATTTTCAATAAAAGTGAATAAAAATAAAATAAATTATTTTATGAAAATTATATATTTCGATATAAATTATCATATCTTTTGAGGATATCAAGAATAGAAATATTTTTTATTTTAGATTTTTTTTTTGAAAAAGAATGATTTTGCTTGAATATGATTAGCAATTTTAAAATATTTATCGAAATTGATTCTATACTTCAATAGAATTATAAGCAAGGGAATATTACTATTTGAAATCGTATCTAAAATATTCTTTCGAATAAATCATCATATTCGATTAGATCTTGCTCGATTTCTCTCTTCATTGAATTTATAAAGATGAATTCATCAATATTTTAAGAATGAATTTTTAACTTGATAAATCTATGAAATATGAATTTGAAAAGATATTTATTTTTGATTTTATATATAGACGTTTATCAAATCAATCTATCATAAAAATAATGAAATATCAGAGAAATGACTAATTATTAATATATTGATAAATATAGATTCTATATATATTTATATAATAACCAATCCTTTTTTGAATTTCTTATATTTCCTTTTTTTTGAAATATCATATTTTCAATTCTGAAAATGCGCTATATAAAATTCAATAATAGATAAATCTAATATTTCAGATTTAATAAATTGATATTAAATTCAGAGAGATATCATTAATTTCAAGAAATCATAAAGAATTTTTTTTTTTCCCAAATCTATTCATTTATAATATATATAATTGAATATGAAACCATAAGATCTATAAATATTTATTCGATCATATAAATTTCTCAGATGAATATTTGGAAAATATGATAATATCATTTCTTTTTGAGATTAATATCGATTTTCTATAATAAATATATAAATTGAAAAGAAATTAAATAAAAATTATTCGGATTACCTTAAATGATACAATATTTTTATTTTTGATTTTTACGAATTCTTATAACGAGAAATCCGACAAAGAAATAATATATAAGATCATATATGCTGTCCGATGAATCTTTATTTACAATCGAATGAAAAAATAAAGAGACAATCAAAGAGAAAGAAATAAATCAAGATCTCCAAAGAATTTTGATCGGTCGATCCCCATATCCGGCCCGATCTTCCCATTTCATCTATCTCTTCAAGACTGTCTGCGCGGCGATTCGGGAGAGCGCATAAATCTTCGTAGATAAATAAATTTATCCTATAATTTTTATATGATTATGACTCTTTATTCGAGATCTATGCGCTCTTCCAAATAATCACGTAGATAATCAAAGAATCAATCACGCGGAAAATCATTCCAGAATCAAAATTCGTCCGTCCAATATCTCCAACATTTTTAATAGCGATCTCTGAATCAAAAATCTCGAATATTTTAATATTTTCCGAAAGTTTTTAAAATCTTTAAGATCTTGAAATATTCCAAAAATCAATCAGAAAAATTAAATCACGAACGAAAGAAATGCTCGTTCACCATATTATTGAGATAAAAATACATATCTATATATTTATATAAAAATATCAATGAAAATTAATCATTGACCGAAAATATATGAATATAGAAATAAAAATTGCGATCAAATTTTCAGAAAAAATGATAAATATCAAGTAATTATCAGAAAATCATTCAAATAAATTACATCAATCCCGCAATCAAATTTTAAATCAAATATATATCGATTTCCTAAATATCAGAGAATAAAAGATATAGAATGAAAATATAGAAACGAATGAATATATAGAAATAAATATTAGAAACGAATGAATATATAGAAATAAATATTATCCAATATGACCTTAATGATTTAATGATCTCTTCATAGAAATCCAAAATTCCTTTTACGCCATCGCACATTTTCACGCAAATTCACGATATTTTTCCAAAAATCCAAAATTCTTTTCACGAATATCATCAAGACCTTTCGCAAAAGATCTTTCAAATCAATCATATTCTTTTTCTATATTATTTTCTATATAGAGTTTCGGACGATATCCATATATGAATATTAATTCAAATTCCCTATAATACGGAATCCTAAATATAGATTCCCATTATAATACGAGGCCCTATATACATTTTCCCTATTTAGAGAATAGTAATTTAGAGAAGCCTCCATATATATATGTTATATTCTTTATAATTGAAAAATATTCCAATCTAAACTCGATTTTTCGAATTTATTCCTGACGAAATCTATAAGAATTAAGAATCTGGTTTATAAATATTTTCTATAGTTCATATTTAATTATCAAATCATATTCTCTTCCAAAATATGATTTATTTTGCGATAATCTCTTATCGTAGAAAACGATAATATATCTTAAATTCATTTATGCTAATAAATATGAAATATTCGCTATTTATCGCGAAAATAATTTTCAAATCGTTTTGAAAATGACATTTCAATCATCTTCTCATATGAAGATGAATAGATTCCAGAAGAATTTTCTTCATATTATTTCCGAAAATCTTTTTCATTTGAAATCTTCTCCGATTCTTTTCGATATTTATCGATTTATAGAGTCTAAAGATTTGTTGTAGGAATGATTCTCCCTTATCAATCTAAAATTTCGTTTTCTGATCATTAATAGATATCAATATTTTCTTAATTTAATATATCTTCCTCGTTTCTAGTATGATTTCTGACGACCAATAGGTAAATAAATAATTTAGATATAAACAACCAACAACCAAAGAAGAAGATTAATATCTAGAAAGAAACGAATGCAAATAATTAAGCCGACAACGACACCCAGGGATGGATCAACACATACAGACAAACAGGGACCGATAGACAGCCAAACAAACGGACAGAGACAGATAAAGATAGATAGAGACACAAACAAAAACAGACATAAAACAAGCAAAGATAGACAGTTACGCACAGACAGATACAGACCAAGAGACAGACCGACAGCCAAAGACCCATAGGCGGACAAACAAAGAGACAGATAGGCAAACCAGGTCACTGGGCCGTTCATGGCGACCTTGCTGCCAAGAACTAAGTCAATATGATGGATTCCAAGAGGCTTCAAACCAAATCCCCAAATTCCAGGAATTCTGAACGAACATCGGAAAAAATCCTGCAGTTATCGAGATTAGCCGATGAAGGTCTCACAAGAGGCCAGGGGCCTCCGCCATAGCCAAAACGGGGCCTGACCCGCCTTCTATGATAGAAAAAAAACTCTAAAAATGAATTCTCTACCAAAGATCTACATATTATTTGCCACTACTATGTTTCAATTTCCTTCTCTCAACATGCATATTCGGCTCCCCACCTCGTGAAAGCAAGGGAGGGGTCTGCACATTCACGCTGAAAGTTGAAGTTCATCACGCTGTCGATGCATGCGCAGCTTCGCTGTGCCGTTCGACAGCTGTCTTCGACGCATCTGATGGCAGTTTCCAAAAACGAGAGGACTCAAAGGTGCACACCAAGTGATGGAATTCCATGTCCAAGGCTACCAGCAATGCCGTTCTTGTTTTGGAAACTCCCAGATTCCTATTCTAGGCGCCCCATGATACACCGGAAGCCCTGCGGTAGATCCGGCGATAATCCAGCGGAAACAAAGCCTTCATAAACTCCATCCTTGCCACGCGATGCACTTCAAAGCAGCAGAGATTTAAAGCATGCTTGAAAAAAAATGGAAAAGACTTCCGGGAACAAACATCTGAAAGGATCAAACGGCTAACTTCCAATTACTGTCCCTTGCCCCGCCCCTGAATCGCCAGGCCCCAGGAAACAGCACCCCTGAAAACCAATGACAGTTTTACATGAGGCTTTCACATGTATCCCAGCAAGGTTTGAAGGTTTGGTTTATGATGAAGCCTTACACTGTGAATGCTTAGCAAGTGGTTTTCGAATGGAACGCACTTTTGGATTTGGGGTTGAAAGTTTTAAGAAGTTAGCCATAGCTGATGATGTTTGAGGTTCCGCCCGCGCGAACGCAACACAGGAAACTGTAAGGAATGCCAACTTCTACTCATAGTTGTTGTATGGTATCAATATCTAAGATTTCAGGAGTCTGGGTTGAAATTCCAGATTCCAAGTTAAAAGATGTCCTGTCGACAGCCCACTAACCGCCAGACATTGATCACCTGAAACTTTGCACTTTAAGCGCAGAATTGGAAGCCTTCAAGTATTCATCGCATAATGCCTTAGTAAAGTGCTGCCCCGAGACCTTAAACCCCAAACTTCTATTCCCACATGGGGGTTGCCCGCAAAGGAGAAGCCTCTAGGGCCCTGAGGATACACTGCCCTAGGCCTTTTCCACAGGCTGATGAAATAGAAATAGTCCTGTATATAAGCTTTTTGGGTTCTAATGTAAATCAAAGTAATGTCAAGTTATCAAGAAGTTTAAGCCTTGAACACCCAACCCTGAACTTTAGCTCTGAAACTTGTTTCCCAAACGGCACCCTTAGATCCCGCGAAATAAGCTAGCTCAAGTCCAGTGTCTCGGTGATGCCCCCGTCGCCATTTTCCTGGTCTCTTTCTTTGGGAATTCTGGAGAAAACCATGCAGGAAAAGTTTAGGGTTTTGTGTTGATGGATGAAACCTTGCGCCACCCGAGGCACTTAAACTATAAGATGTCTAGCATAAAAGAAGCTGAGATTGGTACACGAGTCCTATCCATTGTGTGATGTTTTTGGTTACCTGCAATCCAAAAAGCCGTACCCAAGCAAACCAAAACCTCAATACCGAAGACATCACTCTTCAACCTTAACTAAATTCAGAACTCTAGGGCGTATTTCCTAGCCCTGAGCATTGAACCCAGAAACCACAATAAAGTAAAGACAAAGAAAATAACTGCTGGGCAGCCAAATTGCATCAAATGCCAAGAATAGCTCTGATGCTTCCGAGGGCTTCATACCTGGCACAACTTCCTCAACGCTCCGGGGTTCAGGTATGATTTTTCGGGTCTAAAGTTTAAAGTTGAATGTCAAAGGGCCGTGACAACGTGCAGTCCCATGCATGGGAGGATATACCGGTTATGAAAACAATTTCGGTGATTCGTTCCACTACTCCAGCTAAAGCACCAGGCCAAACAAAACTAGGAGGGTTTGGATATGAAAATTAGGATTGTGGGTTTGGGACTAAGGCTATGGCATTTGTGTATGTTCATTTCTTAGTGGTTCTGGGAAACTTACGGAGGGGGCTTCAGTTCATAAAATTGGGATCAAGTTTGGCTACAGCTTCTGTAAGAAGATTTGGTATCAACGGGCATAAGGTTTAGGTCTCATGCGCTTGGGGCGTGGGGTTCATAAATACGTAGAGAATGCTCAAGATGCTTTTGGAGTGCTGGATACCATTATGTTGCGAAAGCTAAACTGGGAGAATGTAGCGTCGAGCGTAAGACTTAGGTGTATCCAAGATACGTTTTGCGTTACCCGTACTCAGGCGTCTACCTGAGAAAGGAATCGTAGAGGCTGCAGGCAGATTGGTGGGCTGGGTTTTGACGGGGCCTACCTATGGACACTTAGGCGGACAGACGTGGCTGAACATGCTATTGGCTGAACATGCTATAATTGTGGCTGCAACCGCCGAACTAAACGAACAGGCCGACACGCTTCCGACCGTTCCTACCGTACGTAATTCTTACGGCAAATAATGAAAATCCTTCAACTCCAACATCCCAAGCAAAAACACAAAACCAAAAAACATGTACAGGATCGAAATTTCAAACATACCATACAACCGGGACCCCCCATAAACAAGGCCAGACTAGAAGGATAAACCAGGGGCCACGCGGACCCGTAAACTGAGCTATGGCCGTAAACTCTCAACTCTTGACCCCAAGGTAGAAAAGGGTTGAAGGCTAAAAGCTGAGTGCTTGAAACCCGCAACGCCAAACCGGGCCTATCCGCATCTTCGCTACCAAATCACAGAACTCGTCCATCTCCAACTCACCATTGCCTAATTGAAGGTTGGAAGTACAGGCTTAGTTAGAGAGCTTAGGTCTGGAATAGATTCTAGATAGGTTGGAATTAAGCACGCCAGCGATGCAGTATGCAGGGAAGTATGGGGAGGTAATGGATCTGTTGGCTTAGGGACCCGGGCTGTAAAGGCATTTCTATTGGCGCAAAGGTTGTCGAGCGAACAAAAACAAAAAACTGGAGTATTTGACTGTTGATGAAAGAAAACCTGCACCGCACAAATTTTAATGCATCCTCGGAATAGTGGAATTTGCGGGGCCAAAGCGGTGCAAACTTTTCTCCATCCACAGCATCCTAGGTGCCATCTTTGTCAAACTTCGAGAACCTGGGCTTTGGCTTTTGCACCATAAACAAAAATGCAAACTGCAAAAAGGGTGTAGCTCGAACAGGGGCCCCTGATAAATGCTTTCCAAGACTCGCAAACCTACACAAACCCTACCCACAGTAACTTTATACACTTGAAAAAGGAAAACTTGCGTGGTGAAGGCTGCTACCATTTAGAATTACAGTTTAAGCATAGTGGTGCTAAAGGATGATATTCCTCATTATTTTTAGCTTCTACATTAAATCCATCCTTGGAACAGCCTCGGCATGTGTTCCGCAGTGTAACCCAGATTTTTGAGCTTGCGGCGTGTCTGCGTGATCCTTGGGCAGGATTCAGCATCGAGGGCTTGTGGTGTGGTTTGGGGCGAAAAAAAAACATGTAAGGCTGGGTTCAGGGTTGCGGATGCAGGATGGATTGATGATTGTGGGGCTTCATCGCTGGGAAAATGAAGGTCTGTCTTCTTACCTGTATTCTTTTTGACCTGCCTGCTTCGCTTGTGTAATTTATGCATGCGTGAAAACGCTTGGCAGTCAACGGCATTGATGCGCATTGTTGTATCAAGCTTTCACAACCTCGAAACAATCAGTTCAGGGCTCAAGGTTCAGGGTGTGCTCTACGCACGGTGTTGGCTCTCAAGCTTACAGAATACACAACCCATGCTCGAAACAACTGAGCCCTGAACGGTCGTTAAAAATGCTCAGCGCTATTCACTAAACCCTTGCGAAAGAATCAGATCAAAATAAACCCGGACAGAGGATCATAAAGCCCCTCTACATAAACCTGTTGAAGGCGTCGTCCTGGGGTCCCAGTCTTTGAGGTTTCGCCAAATGGAGTTTTCAGGCTTGAACATAATAGTCATGGACGTGCCAACTGCTCAAAAAATGTGCCATGGTTCTATTTTCTTGATTTCTTTATATAGGGTTCATATAATTAACTCCAGAGTTAACTGCTCAAGGAGTCTGTCTGGCAGTACCCAAGAAGCCTTGGTAAAAGGAGGGAGGCCGAAACAGAATAAGAAAAAAAATACCCTAAAACATCCAGACCTAATCCTTAAACCCTGGTACAAAACCTATTTCAAGAACATAATAAAGGCAGAGGATCAGGACGATTCTGTGTCGATCAGCCCATGTTTGCGACATAGCGTTGCCCAACACAGACAGAGGCATGGCCATGAAAAGAACCTAGGCATTAGGGGTTGTTGCTGAGGCCTGCAATTATCACAGTAGAGTTTACCAGCAGGTCATACTTTAACTATACAAGGAGGGGGGATCATTTTCTTCACTATCTCTTGGTCTAACGAAAAATGAGTGGGGGTTTCAAGGATGACTTGACAACATTGTGCAGGATTTAGGGTTTTGAGTTGGATGTGTAGGGTTTAGGGAGTATTCTTAAGGGTAGAGGTATTTTCTGAACACACGTTGAAAAGCTGATATCTGCAAATCTGGATTTAAAAGTGTACATGTAAGGCTTATCGGCTTTTCGAGATCACAAGATCTTCACATGTGCGACCTAAGGCTGAAAGCTTAAGATTCGCGAAGCACAGGCTACTGCCCAAGCTTGGATTTCTGTATCGCTTCAAAACGGTAACGTTCATGTTGTAAGGGCTACCCTGAACTGGACAAAAATCTTGACAATCCTCCCCATCCCTGACCCGTAAACCCTAGATGCCATTAGCAGTTTGTTGTGCCATCTTTTTGCAATCGATTTTAGCAGTCCTTTTTTTGGGCATCCATTCGTTTAGTTTGGGGTGCATATACCTCATATACCCTAAGCCCTACACATCCCTGTATCCCTGTTTACCCTCTATTTTACCAATTCTATGGGGTTCCCCGTTAATTTAAGGGAAGGCAAATGAAAATTACCGGCAGGCAGCGCTGATCAGGCAGAGCGCGCCGGCCATGATTTTCCCAAGCGGGGACACGGGATTCATGTCGCAGGTTCCTAGGGAGCGGGTTAGGTTTCAGAGCTTATGGAGGGTTCAGACTTACGGGTTTATGTAGAATTTTTTGAGGGATTGAGATGAGGGAGAAAGGGCTTCAGGGGTTTCAGGTTTAGGTTTAGGGCATACTTACATAGGGCGTACGGCTTAATGCTTAGGGATTAGCGCAGGGTTTCTCAAAACGGGAGGCGACCCTTGGCAAGCCTAGGAACAAATTGGGATACTCTACGGATTAGATTGGGTGATCAGCTTGTTCAGCTCGGAGGTTTTGACTGTTAAAATCCTGACGAAAACTGAGCTTTGAAGTTATGCGTGAGGGGTTTCAGATTTTGGTTTTCAGGTTGAAGGTATGAAGCATGAGCAGTAATACTGTAGCAGGGATATGAATTGAATCCCTGTTGGTCGCAGGGCTACGTTTTCACCTTGCCACTGCTGGAAAGTCCTACCTCGTGTATGTTTCAAGTTTGGGTTTGGCTTGCGGGCCTCGAGTTGAGATTGAAACCCTCTGCAGCCATTGCTCAAGCTCCTTCGTGGGCACTCTGTTCAGATAATTCCCAGGGCATCCCTTAATGTCCCCCCAAAATACCTCTGCAATCTCATTTTCTTCCTGGTGGGTCGAAAGCATGCCCCGGCCAGATGTGCCACTGTTTTGAGAAACCCTCCACCTAAGCCATTCAGGCCATTGAGTTTCAAGCCATACCACAGTTTGAGTTGTTTAAATTCATGGTTTAGAAGGATACTACCCCAGGCAAGAAAGCATTTGCCTGAGGATGCATCAGCTTTGCGGTAAAAACTGAACCGATCGGCATGCTCTATTTGACTATCCATCTTTCACACACAGCCTTCAGGACATGGGCTTCTGAACAGTACACTCCCCAAAGCTATTGTATCTTGTATACAATAGTGCTTCTAAATTCAAGGTACAACTATAAAAACACTGCATGCCCGCAAAGTTTAATTGAAGGGATGAACACGTGCGACTCTTTCCGAAAACAATTTTGAACAGCCTCCGCGATTCGTGAATCCCTACGCTGCAAAACCTGAAGCCCTAATTTCAGCCCAAGTTCCGACGGTGGTCACGGTCACGGTGCACAGGTAGATGGATGTGCTCAGGGAATCCATGGTCTCCTTGGCTCTTCAGCATCCAAAGGGGAAAAGCATGCACTCGTTACCACACTAAACTTCAAAGCCTGTATCCTAAATCCTGTTTTTCTGAAAGAAACAAGCAAATACGTGTGCTGCTGCATGACCTGGCTTCTGGCTCCAGGACGTAGAACGCACATCCAAAGATGAGAACAATGAAGCAGACCAGAAAGAGTAGCAGCTTCAAAGCATCCATAGTCGTGGCCAGAACATGCAGCAAGAGCTGTAATTTCTGGAACTTACGAATGAGTTTCAGCTGCCTCACCACGGGCACACAACCTGGGATCGAACAGAATGCGCAAATTTCTTTCTGGGAACCACATGGGCATTCCTCAACATGGGGACACTTCGGGATATGTAGGTTTTGCAAGACACAAGATTATGATGGTCACCATTTGGAATCATGTAGGGATTGTTTCGAGAAACATCCGTATACCGACTTCATAAACAAACAATCCGAATAAATTTCAGGTTGCCGCGTCTTCAAGTTTGGTGGCTCGTCTGGCTCTGTATTATTTGGCTGGGTCTCAAAGTCTCACATGTTAGGAACCTCCCCGAAACAGAAGCATCTACACTAGAAGGCGGCAATGGAGGGGACTCTGATTAAGAGGGCGCACCGTCAATGTTCTTCACAACTGGCTTGGTACCTATGTGGGGACTAAAAAGAAGCACGTGTACGGTGGGTTTCCTCATGTGTGGATAGGCGCACAAAGTTGATCTCCGCCGAAAACGCTTCGTATCGAAGCAAGTTTTCCAAAGATGCGGGCAACAAGTTGAACGCGATCTTTCTTTTCGGAACAGTCAACAGGAGGCTTAGGGGGTTCGTAACATATCTCCGTTGAGGCTACAGGGCTGGTGTGGATGCCTGCCCGAAACGAAGCCCTAAGCCGCAAATAACCCTTGATGAAGCCAAACACAGACACAGTAGAGCAAGTAGTGCACCGCAGCGTTCTCATCTTTCGTGGGTGTTGCAATGCCGAAGGGAATTCGCAGCGCCACGGGTAGAATGGCGAAAAAGTCTATGATGTTGTACCTGCTTAGGGGCTACGAGTGGCATGTAAGATTTGCAACTTGGAGCTTAGGGTTTATGGCTAAGGACCAACCAATAATGTTATACCTCAGGCGTGGGTGGCTAAAATGCACCTTTTCGAACGAGAATGCCAGTAAGATGACCTCTATTCTACTGAGATTCTACTGCTGGAACATGGGTATGTGCCAAGAAACATCCCCATACCCCTCCCAACATTCGTGTAGTCTGATCTGGATATATGGACACCGGGTATTGGCGATGAATTTGTCATGCTCCTGTCTGAAGGAAGCGTCATGCAGGGGCCCAAGATAATTTGGGGTACATACTCTAGTTATACAAGCACGACAAGAAGAGAGCAATAGCAATCATTCAGACCTCTGCATCAAACCAGGCAGCATCTTACCCCAACTAACAAGAATCTGGCAAGGTGCAGGAATTAACTCCCAGAATGAATGCTGGTGGTTTAACTCACTGGTGCTTAGACACAATGTGAACCTCAGTTTCAGTGTGAAGTTCTTGGTCCCGTGAAACGGTAGTACATCAAACTACAAATACATTCCCCCAAGCTAGCATGGAACTCCAAAAAGGGTCTACTGCCCTGTTGAGCGGGTCTATGCTGGGACATGGCAGCGTGGGGCAGGGTCCAGATTTGACGACCTCCATCTTTTGGTGGAATGCAGTTGATACTGGCAAAAGACGATGTTCCGTTCTGGGTTTATACTGACTTGGCTTGAGTCATGCAGGGTCCCTAGATTCGTGTTTGGGGTTTAGGACCACATCACTCCCTTATGGTTCGTATACTGTTAGTTGCTTGATGCACGCCAAGACTGTGTTGAAATCATTTATTTCACTGCACTATTTGACTCATGACAGTTGAGGAAGGATGTTTTAATCTTCGCTGCTGTACAAAGACATTTCAATTTGGGGGCTTCTATCTATCATTCGAAGACAATTGAGCGATTCAGGTCCATGGCAGCAAGTATCAACCCTGAACTCTCAGACGCCCCGCATAAGTGCTGCGTTTTGGTGGTTGATATGGGGACAAGATCTTGCTCTACGTGGGGAATCACAAATGCTATGGATGAGGCACGGATTCTTCAGGAACGCTCCGCGCTCGCTGCTCCTGGTGGAGAAAAAATGGGCCAGCAGCTCGATCAGCATGATGCCCTCTACGGAAAGCTGGATCACACCTTGGGCATAGAACCGCTATAAATGTGTCCAAAAATTTGGGTCCCCCGTATAACCACCAAAAAGAACCCCCCGCGCTTTTTGCGCAACCACTATATGAGGATGCCCCAGCCCCAAATCAGTGGCTCGCTCCCTTTTTGGGGGTCCTCCTGACAGAGGGTTCAATGGGTGTACATACAGGTGACCATCATTGTTGAAAGACCAATGCTCCAATGTTCTTTTAAGGTTCCATTGAGAAACACCCCATGGGTGTAGGCTTAGGCTTCCAGGTTTTGTGGCGACGGGTCCATGGTTCAGCGAAATCAAATGTGGGAGTCTTGAACATGATCCCTACTCGAGGCTTTCCGTTTTGGGATATGATTACAAAATAACACCTTCACATTCCTCATTGGGTTTAAGAAAACAAAATACACTACGTTTCCAACCATGACTAAGAATAGGATCCCCCAGAATCTCCTTGCATTTCCCATCCATATCCTGGGTATAGCGCACTCCTATTTCAAGAGCCCATCGCTTACCTGTGGGATATCTGACTGAGTCATACTTGGGAAGTTTCATTAGCTTTGGCGCTCCCAGAGCCCTAAAACACTAAGAGACCTCAATCTCTTGGAATCCTACACCCACAGTGCTGAGAAGCCTCAATTTTTTGGTGATCTTGAAGCAAAAATGCTGGGAGGCCCCTCACGACTCAAATGACTCAATCTTTTGGAGGTCTTGAGTGGGCAGCTCCAAAATCGAAAAGATTGGGGCCTCTCAGCACAAAAAACAAAAACAGAAAAACAAAAAACACCGTTGAGGATAGACAGAACATATTCTTCTTTTCAAAGAGTAAATGGTACCACGACAAGGAGAATTCAATCGTACGCTTTATTGAGGACTACTGTTACTTTGTTTAGCCTACTACACAAATAGCTGTCCGAATGCAACTGGGCACCTTCAATGAATCGAGGTACAACTGGTTGAGCAGTTGCTTGCCAAACCTGGATGACTGCTCGAGATGGTGTTGTGTTGATGATGGTGGCAGTGATTCTGATGACGTTCAGCGTCTGGAGTTTAGGTTTAGGGTTTTAGGCATTGCGGCAATGAACGTGTCAGATTTCTTGTCCGTAAAGTCCGGTGTACCATGCTTTCCATCTCTGCCGGAGCGGGCGTGTTAACAGCTTGCAGAAACTGTCCCCATGAATCCGGAACCAGAAGCCCCTAACAGCCAAAGTCCCAAACACCTGTCAAAAACCGGAGGCCACAAATCCATCCTAGATTCTAAATCCTAAGCAACCCAAAGCAGAGGCCCCAAATCCATCCAGAAACGGTGAAGATAATCGCTGCGGACACGAAATAGTTGCTGAGCTTTGCGTATAGCCATGCTGCCTTGCTTGAGTCCTGGCCAGTTCAGTCGGACTCTAGAGGTTTAGGGATCAAGTGGTTCAAGCGTTTTGTGGTTTACGGCTTGCTTACGTAGGATTCGGGGCTTAAGGCCTCAGGTTTCGGCTTATTCATTAAGATCTAATTGCTCAAAAAAGCGGGCGCATGAAGAGGATTCTGGTGAGACACAAGGCTCCTCTCCGATGGGAACCTAGGGGTGATGTAAGGAGAGTTTGGAAAAACACCCATGTGGGAAATGTGCTTTGAAGGGTTTAGGGTTTCAGGTCAAAGCCAGGTTCAACAGCATGGTGCAAGGTCCTTTAAGGTCTGAAACGGCATTTCGTACAACCATGCAAAAAGATGAATGAACACGGCGATTTAGGTTTGAACTACCCGATCTGGGCTTTTCGGTGCTTGGGGTTCCGGCGTTGAAGCCTGGCTCATTTGGCAAGATTGCGCCCAAGTACTAGTAGACCTAAAGCCTACAGCCCAAATCCTCTGCTTTCTGGAAAATCTGTGTGCTCAAGCTGAGCAAGCAACTGCTCTGGCTCAAATGAATGAAGTCCTCAATATGTTCAATACAAGGCCATCCTCTAAACTCCGAACTCCACACACAGCTTAGCTGATTTAGGGTTCAGTCTTGATTTTTTGCTTTGCGGATTCACCCTCAAAGCAATCTCAGGAGCAGTTGGAGTCCTCATCCTGCATGAATAGGTAGAGGTCAGTGACGGTAGCCTGACGCTTGAAAAACTCCGAGAAGGAAGCATTGCTCACCTCCAGGGTTTGAGGGTTGAGTTTGGTGTTTAAGTGTGGAACTAAAGGGTTTAAGGGTCTGTTTGATGTATGGCACCGAGGCTCAAGTTTAGGGTAGGTCATTGGAGGCTCCAGTCATTTGGGGGGGTGATTGGTTGACCTTAGCTCTGAAACCATAAACGCTGAATGCCTAAATCCGGGACCCAGGATCACCCTTTTCACTTTGCATCTGTTGGGTGGTGGCTGATCTGGCATTTCGTCGTTCGGAGTCGACGTGCTGCTGAAGCTCGCAGAAGACTTTGACCTAGGCTTTTCAAAGGGGTTTAGGGCTTAGACTTTAGGAGGTATTTAGTTGTGAAACCCAGACCCCACACCCGCACAAAACAAATGTGGCGACGGTGGGGCCTCTGCCGTTTTTGCAACCCTGAGAAATGGCATTTCTGGTTGTTTAGGTGCAGGGCTAGAGGGAGTCAAGCCAAAACCCCGAAAGCCCAAGCGACATACAGATCAAGTCTCCGTGCCTGTGGAAAGCCAGATCTTACTCGGGCTTTCTGAAAAGCAAACCCAAAAGCCCAGGACCAACCTCAAACCCTGGGTCCTGAACCTTAAGCCTCAAGCCCTCAACTCTGAACCGTACACCTTCAACCCACGCTCAAAGCAAAACTGTACCCTAACCCCTACACCCTAAAGCATTCGGAGACACTTCTTGTCATCATCGCTTGAAGACTCTGAGCTCCCCGAGCTCGCTTTGGCCACAACATTTACCTCTCGCGCTCAAGGTTTGGGGTTTCAGGGTCATTGGCATTTCCCCCCATCAACGACAAGATGATTCGCTGAGTAGAAATAAGTATTCTGCTGATCCCTTCCCTGTAAACCCTAAGCCCTCAAGTACAGAACCAGTATATATTAGGAAGTTCACTATTCTGCGTGGTCGGGGGGCTATTCTTAGGTGGAGGCGAGTGGTAGCGGCTGTTCGCGTAAATGGTAAGTACCTATCTGGGGATTGTGGATTCTCCGAGATAGGGGATTCTGAAAGTTAACCAGGGTATGTGTGCTACAAATCTTCAGGGAGCAGAGAGTGCAAGATGCAACCGGACCTTCTTCAGTTCTGGGATCACATGGGAAGGATCGCGAGGGCCACAAAAACAGTAGACATGCCCACTGCGCGAAGGAAAAGAAAGCTTTTGACACGCAACCCTTGTAGAACCAAACCAGAATCCAACCTCGTCTGCCCAATGAACCCCACCGAAGAAAGGATACATAGCAAGTCAGTCCCTACATTTACCTGTGCAGACCCTATAGCCCTACACGGCCCAAACCTATAGCCCTACACGGCCCAAACCTCTACCGCCTCTGCTTCCTTGGGAACGTCCGCTATTTCAGGCTGGTGCGGAAGATCTGAGATGTCAGCAGCTGGCATCAGCTGTGTCCTGTGATGTACTTGGTATCAATGGTACAATGGTACAAACACAATATGTATTTATCAGGCATTGGAGTTATCAAGTTTCCCGAACTGCGTAAAGTTGATGCCTCTTTGGTAGGCAGTAAAAGCTTAGGGCTTTGCTTTGCACTGGCCTTTACAAAACAGTCCCAACAACAACTCCAAAGAGAAGTGTGCTGCTCACTCAAATAGCAAGGTGTCGGAAGCGTGTTCGGGGGCGTGTGCGGAGTGAATGGATGGAGTCCATCAGGCTTCGGAAATCCTGAGTGGCGTGGGCTAAAGTTTTTTGAGGCTTCTTTGAAGGGACATCTGGTTTTACCCCTAATTCCATTTCCCCATCTAACTTGTATATAGCACTTGTATAAGACCCGTATCTTTCGGTATCTTCATATTGCAATTCGTACGCGACAAGAGTCCCTAGTAAGGAGTCCTCCTACTACTCTCAGTTGGAGGGTGGGAAATTTGGGAGTTTCTCAACATGGTTTAAAGAGAGTTTTCTCAAGTAGGGAGTTCCCAGGAGGCTTACCTTACATAAAGTGTGAACGAGGCATATGTCAGGAGAACAGCAGGTATGTAAGGGCTATGTAAGGCTTCATATGAGGAAACCACGCATCTTGAAATGTCTCGGCCTTTAGAGCCAGCATCCGATGAGATCAAGAAAGGAACAAATTAAAACATCCCAAAATCATCACCAGGAACCTCGCACAATTAAATCACATCGGAAATTTTATACCTTCCTTTTCTAGGGTTCCTATCTGTCCTGTGAGGGCCACGGGTCACTCATTTGGTGAACATCGTCTGATTTCTGTCGAGTACATGTTAAAACATAGACAGAGCATCTGCAGTCGCATGGAAGAAGACTTCTCCATTCACAAGGCGTTCCATGAATTTCGGGGACTATGTTGGTTGCTGGCTTTGGGGTACAAGGTACATTGCAGGATGTCAGTTCAGTTGTCTCACAATAGGAGCTTCCCAAGAAGGGGGGCCACTCAGCAGCGCCAGGAGTATCGAGCCTTCTTGAGAAACTCCCAATCGACTGAGTCCAACTGAACACAAAAAACTTTAAACCTACCCCATACTGATCCAGAATCTTGGCACGCGTGAACCCGGATGCGGGGTCTTCAACTCCAAGGAATCGGCAGTGCCCTGCTTGCGGATCAGTGAAAGCTCTGGGAATTCCTGTTTGTTGCGAGGGGGACTTTTGGTTACCTCAAAACCCAGAATTAAGGATCCTATGACTTTCACATGGGGGATTGTCAAGATTATGGTCCCTTTTTGGGTCCCCTAGATTAGGCCCCGTATTAGACCCCGTAGTATAATAGGGACCCAAAAAAGGATCATAATTTTGACAGTCCCTCACATGGCTCCTACAGGATGCTCATCATGGGCTGTCTTGCAAGATATCCTAGTCGGTTGTAGCGCTTTGGGGGGCTCAAAGCTACTGGTGCTGAACATGAATTGGTGAGTGGATATCACTAGCAATCCCTACAAGCCCCGTATATTCCGCACCTATATCCGCTCCCCCATGTCCTGTAAGCTCCAACACCAAGAAGAAACGCGCCCTAAGCCCCAAAACCTAAACAATATAGCTGTTTCGATTTTCTTTCCCATCCCTAAGCCCTAAAATGCCTAGAAACTGGTGCCCATGGATTTGACAGTGCTTTCCATGTAACATGTACGGGTTGAAGTACCTAGGGATGAAGCGCGCTTGTGATTTGAAGCTTCAGGCCTTTGGCTTAAGAGTTTAGGTGTCCTTTATCCCCATATTCCCCCAGTTTCCATTTCATTTTCCATTTTCTTTTCCATTTTCTTTTCCATTTGATTCTCCACTATAGGGGGGTAATATAGTAACTTTGGAGCACCTAAAGTTTAGCTGTTTTGATTTGAGAGAGCTGCAGCAACATGCAGAAAAGCTCTTACCAGTGGGGATGTCCCGAGGTACCGCAGCTTGCCAGAATATGGGGTATATGCAGTGGCGGTATTGCTGATGCAAGCAAATCCTGCATGACCCCAGTTACCTGAAACCTTGGGAGTAACGGTATCCTAGTATGCAGCAGAAGAAACTTGCTAATCCTGAGATGGGGAGATTTATGTAGGGACCCGTAGTAGACTAGAAACCCCAATGTGAGCTACAGTCTAAAGTCTAAACTCCTTCCAGGGGGAGAAATGGGTGACTACATAGGAGTTCCTAAGGGGGGATACTAGGAGTTTAGACTGTAGCTCCTTTGCGGACCCGTTTTCTACGGATTTACACAAATCCCCAGCATACCCTACTTCAAAGTAATAGTTTCCATTTTCCTTTCCAGTGTCCCTATATAATCCCTATAATATATATGTATATATATATATATAGATAGATCTATGTGTATATAGGAGCTATAGTCTAACCGCCTTGAAGGCCGTTATATAAGGAATTATGTAGGGGAGCATTAGAGGGCTTATTAAGGGGGATATTAGGAGTTTAGACTGTAGACCATACATCCTTATTCCCTACTAAACCCGCATCTTGAACTAATCCCCAGCTGGTAGCCTGCGAGACATCGGAGTCTTCCGATACTGCGGTCTTGGAGGCTAAGCGAGGCTGGACGGTACTCCTCGGCCAGTACATAGATATATATATATATGTAGACACATACTACTGGGATCATATAGTATATGTATTGTAGGGGATATATGTATATATATATATCTATATACACATTCTGTTTTACCAATAAGGAATCTGATACATTGGGCTATACTATATACGGGGGTATACAGGGTCCTATAATAAGGACTTTGAATATATGAGGGTCTATACTGGGTTATATCGGGGTACATAAGATTTAGGGTTAACGGGTTTGGGGATTTTAGGGGTTTTGGGGCTTAGGGTCCGGGGTTTAAGGTTGGGGGTTTGAGGGTTTAGGGTTTGGGGTTCTCGTACCGCTCCTTCATACTAGCTCTCACCCTAGGTTCCTCCTGAATTAACCCAAACTAGCCCTCAATAAACTTAATTAAGGCTTGGGGAGGTAGCATACAGGGGGATAATAGCCTAGGAGCTTAAGAGTTTCGGTTTAGGGTTTAGGATTTCGGACGGGGCTTTGCTGTTTAGGATTCTAGGTTATTGGGGTTTAAGGTCTAGGACTGGGTGTTAGGGTTTAGGACTCTTGGTTATCCGGGTTTAGGGTTTTGATATTAAGGCTTTGGGGTTCAGGATATTTGGGTTTGGGGTTCGGGCTGGGAATTTGGGGCTTTTGGGTTTGCATTTAGAGTTGAGGATTTGGTTTGGGGCTTAGGCAAGTTGAGAGTTTTCGAAATAGGGGCTGCGGGATAGATACATGGGGCTCGCAGATCATAGGAAAATTTTGTGCGCCACCTAAGATACGCTTTACACCCCAATACTTACAGTATTTCGGGGACAATGAGTTGTGCGAGATATCCTCCATCAACCGTATGATAGTCACACGGTCCTTATTTTAGGGGCTAAAATTTCTGAGTTCCCGCATAAATAAAGAGTCTCTCCGAAGGATGCTGAGGTGTCCTTGTGAGAGGCCGCTCACAAATGTCACACTTCAACCCAACTCCTGAGTTGCACTTACCGAAATTGAGGTAGATCAGCCCAGAGAAGCAATCCATGTAGTAGCTGCATGCTTCGTCGTATTGAAACCAACCTCCTCAAAACCCTACAGTACGCCCTACCCCTGGACGCGAAAGCGCATAACCCTCACACAGGTTTTTAGAATGCCCTACCATGTCTGCATGCATTCTTTGCCTCCTCGGCCTAATGCTTGACCCCGAAAGAAAGGCTCTCAACCCAAATCCCTCCATGCCTGTG